CAATACCGAGGGCAAAAGAGTACTTTACGCTAAGCAAGGAAGTGGGTATTGTGCTCATGGCTTGAAGAAATTTATCTAAAATCCCTGAGCATGGCTGATTAACTGCTACAAATATACATGGGGAACCAACCTCTTCAAGGCAATCGCTTGGTCACAGAGTTTACCACAAATTATTCTCATTCACTTACTTATCTCTCTCTTCCTGGGGATTTTGCAAGTAGGCTGTTGGGCTCCTGTTGATGTTGGCACCCAATAATTCACCCTTGTTATACAAGATGTTTCCCTCTTGTAGGTTGTCATGGGCATTTTTGATGCTCTGACGGAGTTAAAAATGTAAAGAAGATACAGACAAGCCACTGTTACTTGGAGCTCATTTCAGAAAGCTGAAAGTGAAGAACACGCAGCAATTTTGAGAGTTTGACAAGGCACGGTGATACAGAGCCATACATCCGGAAGACAGAAATAAGTCAAGGTCATTTCTACAGCTTTCCAAGAAAGGAAAAACACAACAGATTTTTCAAACATAACTTCTCTGGAGAACTGACACAGAAAACTGCCACATTGGGTGGCCACCACCTTTGGCAGTCACTATGCCATCAACCAGTCTTGATCACAATTAAGTACCAGTGATTATTACAACTGCATATAAATAAGGACAGTGGTTGACTGAGGAAGACAGTCAGAAACAAACACAGATGTCACACTGAGATATGACACAAAACACGATACTGAGACTGTAAGTTACACACGGGTTAGATTGACCAATGACAAAAAATAGCTGAAAAAAGGTCTAAAGAAGCTGAACTGTGAACATCTCCTATACTTTTGTAGACAGCCAGTGAGGGAAAAAAGCTGCAATCCAAAACAAAAAAACCTGAGATCAGCTAAAAAGCTGAGAAATCTCACCCCTGGTTACATGAGCAGCATTTCTGCACTGGTCATAAATTTCTGCCATTACTTCAAGACATTTCATACACGTGAATTAGTGCAAAGTGTATCATTTGAGGGAAGCAATGGTGCGGTTTTTATTTTTAGAAAACTGTTGTTCCGTTTTGACATCAAAAATGGATGGAACAAACTTTACCTGCAAGCATTTAAATCAAACTGCATATTGATAGGTGATGAAAATCCAGTGGCATAAATTTGTGCGGGAAATTGGAGGGGTGGGGATTTGTGGGGGGGCGCTTGCCTGGACATGGAAATTTGAATGGGGAGGGGGGAACATCACATGACAGGACACGGGGGACAATGTCCATAATACACCGGTAATATGCATTTCATTCATGCCAAATCTTACGTCACAATGGCTTATTTGTGGATTTTTTATTGTTTGCCTTTTTTGAGTGATAGTCACTGGGAAGTCCACAAAATTCTTCACAATCCACTTACTTTCTGTTGCTCCCTCAAAAAAGCAGGCGGGGGATGAATCAAAAGCCCATCGCCCCTCAAAATGTGGGGGGGATACATACCCCCCATCCCCCAGGGATTAGCCTATGTGAAAAACACTCTTTCCTTTCATGCCAATCATAGCTTGTTTTTGATTCACAACAGGTTGTGGAGTTACCAAGTCCAGGTGAAAATGTAGGACCATCAGAGGAACACTTACCACTGATGCATTTGGTGTCACATACACAAAACTGAAAGGATTTATCGTTCTCTCAAATACATACCTGGACAATGCCTTCAAGGATGGCATCGATGCTGGAGCGTTTCATGCCAAAAGCAGTAATGGTATATAAGCTGTACTGAAAGTAGCCACCTGGGCCAGAGTGGGTGTGTGTGCCACTGATAGCAACATTCTCCTCAGTGTAGCGACCGCTGTATTCCTTTTGCAGTTCTTCAATCACCTGTGCAAATTAAGAAGAAAGCGATCCAATTATGAACAATG